TGCGATATCTCACGAAATAATGGTGATATCAAAATTCTGGTTTTATAATAAGATTCACAGGGATAAGAACTACAATTATTTCATTATTTAATTTATTTTAATGTTTTTGTAAAAATGTAAAAAATATATTTTTTTATTTAATTATTTCCAAAAATATTAAAGATAACCATTTTGTAGTTTATTTTTCTGAAAATATTGACGTTTCAAAATTTTATTTTCATTAATTTCCTGATTTTTAATATTTTTTCTAGTTTTAAAGAAATAAAATATGATTATAATTTATAACTATTAGGAACACGAAACATATTCAGCCAGCTGTATGGGAATGCGCGCGGCGCGATGGGTCACATGTTTGATAACATTACAGTGTTAAATAATTCGCAATTTTTCTCGAAACAATAAAAAATATTAAAAATCAGGAAATTAATGAAAATAAAATTTTGAAATGTCAACATCTTCAGAAAAATAAACTCTACACTTCTCATGGCTATCTTTAATTTTTTTTGGAAATAATTAAATAAAATAATTTTTTTTTTAAACTTTTTAATCAAAACATTAAAATCAATTAAAATATGAAATAATTGTAATTCTTATCCCTGTGAGTTTTATTACAGAACCAGAATTTTGATATCCCCATTATTTTGGGCAATATTGCAATGGGTAAATCCTCACGAGACACCCTGTATAATATATATTTTTTAAATACCTATACCTACAAAATTTTAAGTAATTTTTAATTTTAATGAAAAAAGAAAATTTGTTTTTAATTGTTTTATTTTGAACCAAATGCTAAAATTATATTTCTAGTGATTAATAAGAATATCCAAATTGAGTATTTTAAACGTTTTAACCTAGTYGAATATGCCAAAATGTTATAGCGGAGGTGAGCTAAGAAGACTGCAGACCTCCCAAAAATTTCGAGAAAATTTAAAATGCTTACAATGTTCTAAGAATTTATTAAAATTATAATTTGTAAAAACAGACATTTTTAAAAATCTAAAATAGTTTAAACCCACATTATCAGCACACAAGACAATTTTTTTTTGGCAATGGTAGTGGGGAAATTTGTTAAAAATTAACTATGTTCTATGCTACATGCTACTCTTGACAATAATAAAATATTATAAAAATATTTTTTTTTGGTTATGAAAATAAATTTATTTATTTTCTCTAAAAATATTTATAAAAGGTAAATTATATTATTTAATATATGTGTATCAATTACCTTGCGATTTGGATTGTTTTTTAATTCTTTAGGATTAGGATTCAATCCTCCTCCTTTTGGCCATCGATTTCTAGATCGTTTTGATGCTGCAGATGGAGAAGTTGCTGGGGTAGGTCCTAAAGGTGTACCCAAAGGTGTACCAGCTTCTTCTAGATCTAAATCAATTTCAGCTTCATCCAATGAACGTTTTTTCAAAAAATAGTATAGAATGTCAGGATGATTCCAGATCTACATATGAATAATTATATATAATAAAATATTTGTCTAAGTTTAACACTATTGTTTTAAACAACTTACTTTACAACAAACTGCAAATGCTTTCAACGGATTAGGTACAGCTTTTTTCCGTACAACTTCATTCATAAATCGATCATACAGCAATCGTTGTAATGGAGTCATACGAACAAGTAAAACAAATTCTTCTTTTTGTGGTAATGTTTTTTCCAATACAGAATGACTTCTTCGTTGAACAAACCCTTCTAAAAGAGAATGTAGAACATGTGCTCTGTGTCTCATCAACCTAATATCTTGGGGTGTACTGTCAATACATTGACCATTTTGAATAGGTCTTTCAAACATGTTACTGAATTCAGTTTTTGTTCCCAAGTAATTTGGACGAACAAAATCTACCATACACCAATATTCTAGTAAGTTATTTTGTAATGGATATCCAGTTAATACAACACGTCGCCGACTTTCAATCTCTTTAAGAGATTGTGAAGTTGAAGCATGGCTATTTTTAATTCTATGTCCTTCATCACAAATCACTAAATCTGGTCCAGGTTTTACTAATGCATCTCTCATTTCTAATAAAAATAAAAATWAAATAATTAAATTTTTTCATCAAAATTATTTAATAACTATATGCAAATTAAGTGTTTACCATCAAGCAATGGTTTATTTTTCTCATCATAAAAATCATCATCAATTTGTTTTTTATTTCGTTTCTTTCTTGGTTTCCTAGAAGTTAATTGTCTGTAAAGCTCATAGCCCATTAGTAAAACACCACCTTCAACTCGCCAGCTTTCTATAACTTTGCCTCTAGCTGATATAGTCTTATGAAAATCATTAAGAACAAACAGAGGGAACTGTCTATAAATAATATCACCACTATTTGTTGTGTTTTCTGAAGAATTTTTAGGATCATCGGGTAACGGAAGCCACATATTAAATTCAGCCATCCAATTTTGTAAAGTATTAATAGGCATAATACACAACACATGTTTTGCTGGTGTATGTCTTAAAAAAACATCACAAAATGAAACAACCTATAAAAATAATATTTAAATAATTTAAAATAATTACCAATGGAAAAATATATTTTTAGAATATATAAATTAAAAAGTACTAATAAATTACCTGGAGTGTTTTGCCTAATCCCATTGAATGGGCAAGTATGCACCCAAATCCTTTAGAAGATTTAAACCTTTCAAGAGATTCTACCACATTATCAAACAAAAATCTTACACCTCCAATTTGGTGAGGTTTGATAATACGTGCAATTTGAGGAGCTAAGAAAACATCTGGCTCATTATCTGGATGACCAACATTTATAAGAACTCGTCCAGACTCATCTGGTTGATTATAAGCATCGTTTGTGTGCATACCACTATTGTGTGTATCATCATCTGCTATATCTTCTTCTTCTTCATCACCAGATATTAATATACAATCATCATCTGAACTTTGAGGTTTTCGTTCTACTTCCTCTTCTTCACTTTCACTACTTATTGTTACAACCTCAGCTACTTTTGCTGGTTTTATTGGAGCAATTGAAACAGAAGATGTTACCATGTGTGGTTCATTAACATCTCCAAGTTTTGAAGCAATAGATGATAATTTATCAATTTCATTACATTCTTTAGAAGCATCTGGTTGATTTTTTAATATTTCTAACATTTTTTTATTAAATATCTGTGGCGATCCAGAATCAGTAGATATCACAATAGTATTAGGTTTAGGTTGGAGTTGTGGTTCAGTAGGTACAGAACTTTTTTTAATTAAAGATGTAGTTCCTCCTTGAAGCAAAGACATAACACGATCCTGAGCTTTAGAGTTTTGTCTATTGATCGCAATTTGTTTTTGGACCTAATATTTAAAAGAAAATTAACTAGTTAAAGTTTTGTTAAAAATGAACCATTTATAATACGTACGTCTCTAATAATACGTTGTTGCTCTTGAACCCGACGTAATCTTTCCATTTCTTGTCTTTGTGCAGCCAAGGTCGATTCATCTAATTTTGTTTCATCCATAACCTCACGAATATTTCGTCTCAAATTGGTTGGTCGTTTTTCGGATGTAGATTGATTATCTGGATCTTCATCACTGGTTTCTAGATAAAAATATAAATTAATTATAAAATATTTATAACCAAAATAAAATATAAGTACATACTGTCGTCATTCATTTTGGCTTTTTTCGGGGTTTGATCATCTTCTTCCTCCCCAGATTTCCGTTTAGAGTTGGCTTCAATTTCTTCATCAGTTTGTTCTTTGGCATTGCTCTCGTTTTCTGATTCATTTCCAATGTTTTCTATTTCTAATTTGACTTCAACGTTTTCATCAACTGTTGCGGTAATATTAAATACTTCGGAATTATCTGAAGTCTTTGAAATTTCTGGTGTCTTGTTCGTATCTTCTTCGCTACCACTAAAATCATCTTCTTCATCGCTACAGTCATCTTCTTCTTCCTCTTCATTTTCTATAGCCTTAGGCAGTGGCTTTTCTTCAGGTGGTTGAACCCTTTGAACAGTTAAATTGGCGTATCGTGATAAATTAAATGGATCCATTAGAAAATCACTGTACTWAAGCCAATTCCATGATAATTTATTCTAAAACGGTTCTTTCACGTCAAACAATACCACTACTAATTACCAATAAACAGTGAACAGTCGAATACGAATACTTAATAGATAGATAATAATAAAATAATAATATTATCAAAACAACAAGACGTTTTCTTCACGGGTCCCTATCATAAACTCGACCAGGACACAAGACTTTCGAGATTAAAATGTAAGCACCGTAAACCGTCGAAATATCGTCGACCGTTCGAGAATGACTCTTGAAATCGATAAGGCGATATGGATACGAAAATCACGACGGTCATCAAAAACGTTAACTAACTTCAGCAATATTATTATTATTACATCCGTCCATTTTCTTCTACATTCAATACATTTTTTGGAAAACATTAATCTCCGGGCAACTACAGTGTGGGTGAACAGGTATTATTCCCACCCCTAAATGTTTTCTTTATGATTACATAGTATCAYACAACGCGGATGCGGCTGTCGGGATTCAGAATCGGCAGGAAACTTATAGGCTTAAAATAATATTATTTTCTTCTAACGAATATTAATATCGAAAATAATGCCGTAAACGAATTTTTGTCATCATAATATTAATCTAGCATTTACAACGATGAAAGGAATTCATTATAATTCCGCAAAGCGCATACGACATGTAGTAGGTGAGGGGACGAATCGCTTATTCTTTTGGTTTTTGTCCCGGCCCTGGGGCTAAAGGACGCAATTGACAGTCGAAACTACCRACACCCCCCGAGATCGATATTCGATTTCGAAATGTCAAATTCTTGAAATTAGTGAATTTTGTTAATTTTGATTCACGAAAAAAAGGGAAAGCTTGTGACAAGTTGAAGTCCGGCAACATTGGCTACACTGCAATGTTGACATGAATGAAGTATCGAAAACTGTGTATGCGTAAAAAATTTAACAAGTTATGAGAAATGAGATTTAATTAGTTCTTATCTAGTTTTCTATACAATTTTCATTAATTTGTCAATTTTTTTGCGTTTTGCAGTGTACATCTACATTATTATTTGTTCTCATAGTTTTTTCCTTTATTTTTATCAATAGTACGGACAATTGTATGACATTTATTAACTAACCGTTTTGCGTGAATGTTTATAACTAATTGTATTATTTAATTTAACTTAAGCATAATTACTCTACCTAGTTGGCAGTATAAAATAAGTCRAATTCCTAGAATGGACGTGGAATCAACTGAAAATCCAGTAAGTCAATTCTGTATTTTTGATTAATATATTTTTCATACAAAACTATTTACCAGTTGAATATAGGTATCCACTATTCATCAGTATAAACAAAAACATTAATGATAAAGATATGATTGGTGAATGTCTATTAGTAGTTAAGTAGACATTCATCTAATCAATACTTAAAATATTGTTAGACCCTTTATTTGCAGGTATTGTGAATATAATTTATTAGGTACTTAATTCATGACAGTAAATTATGTATAATTTTTGTTTTTAAACATTTAAAGAAAGTCGTTGTTACTAAATGTTACTTCATACTTGTTCAGGAACCTCTATTTTTAAATAAAATGAGTCATTCCATTTTTTTTTAAAAATATTTTGTTATTTTGTAAGAAAATATATTTATAGTTATACTATAATCCTGGTATTCAAATGTGTAAATATTATAATAAAGTTGAATTTGTAAACAACAATCCCTTGATATAAAAAATATATATATTTATATACAAAATATAGACTCATATTACTTTCAAAAATTGCAATTCATTAAAATACATTTTTAATTTTAATTGTTATCAAATTTTTGTTTTTGTTTTCTACAATTAATGTTTTATAAGCATTAAATAATATTTTTAAAACAATAAATGCTAGCTACTTTGGCTTTGTTTAATAAATCAGATACTTGAAATTCCACAACACTTTCAATTTGTCTTTGAAATTGTTCAAAGTTATCATTTGCATATGTATCAAATAAAACTAACAAGACTTAGTGTCTGTTTACTTTAATCCGTAACTTATCTTATCACTATATAATTGAAATAAAGATTTATGTAAGTATAATATAATATATAGTTTTTTATATGAAAAATGTTTTTAATTAATTATTATTTACTAAATTAATTAAGTAACCCCATTATTATATTTATAGGTAGAAAAGTATATAACATGTGACAGTGAATACTTATTTCATGTGGGTATTGTTTGTAGTATTTCTGGAATAATATTTACCTGACATTTAAATATTTAGATATGTAAATTCACATGTTTATCTCTACAAAAACTTCAGTAAATGGTTGTTGCATACTTATTGTGTATAGTTTGACAAAATTCAAAATTCAAAATGTATAAAATAATATTTTATCAAGTACAGAATTAAATAATACATTTTGTAAGCGCTCAAAGATTTTCATTTTATAATATTAAAAAATTATTTTATTTAACAAATATAAAAGCTAGTCAAAAATAATTATCAAATACAGTTTGTACATTTTTTGATCATATTATATGGCATATTCTGACACTGTTTAGTGCATACAAATTTGCACTCTAGTTATTACTAAAATTATTTTACCTCTTTTTGGCTTTTTATATGTATTTTAAATTGTTGACTTTGTTTTTAGTTCACTTCAATTTATATATGATAAACTTAAATTGTTAAGTAGTTAAGTTTGGAAACTTAATACAAGATTCTTCATAAGTAATATATCTTCATATACTTAYCAATTATGACATACTAATATTGTATAATAAATTACTCAATCATCCATTACAGTGAGCTCAGCATCGACATTACATATTATTATAGAAAAAAATTAGTTAAACTTTATTATTTTAAAATTAAAATTGTTAAACATAATTTCCTATTCAATTTTATCAARTGTGTTCAATATTTAATCTAGAACACTGTCATTACTTATTAGCTAGGTCTGGTAATGGCCTTCAAATAGAAATTTCTTAAATTATTGGTTGAGCTCTTTATTTTTTTTTTTTGATAAAAATTGTATTTTTAAATAGATTTCTTTAAATATCATAGTTTCAGTATGAACATTGAAAATAAAAGCTAAGAAACCTTGATGGGTAACATCCAGTGGTACATAATTCTTTTCAAAATTGTCTAATTTGTAACCATAATATTCTGAAAGCATAAATAAAATTAATTAATGTCTATTCAGTGACACATTAACAATAATTTCAAGCTTTCCTAATGTAGCTGATTTGGATTGTAATATTTTACTATACAGTCTATGACTCCTAACAAATTTTTTAAAACAATTATTAAAATTATAAATTCTATTRTTATTTAAGATTATAATTATAAAAAAAAAGATAGGTACAAAAACGACAATAATAATAATAATTGGAATATAAAATAATTTT